TGTATACGTTATTATATTCCAATGGACAAGGTGTGGAAAAAGATATAGTATACCATACATGTATAGTACGTAACTGGAATTAACATAATAGTTAATACTCGTTACCTACTATACATGTATGGCATATATATTCTTACTAATATATATATATATATATATATATATATATATATATATATATATATATATATGATATTGAAGTGTTATTCTATATATTTATCGTATTAATTTTACAGTTTTTATTTTTCTTGGATTTTAGTCAAGGATCTCTTCAAGTAAGAGTGTATACAATTTAACTTGAAAAAGATGTGTCAATTGATAGTACCCAGCACATCAGGACAGCCAAATTATGTATCAGACCTAGCAAATTGTTCATCAAGATAACCCAGAATAAGCATATGGTGGGAGAAGAATAAGCATATGGTGATAAACCCATTCATTGTAGTTATAGGATATACTATAATGTAGATTATGCCACTAATCATGCATGTGTTATAGCAAAAAATTATATGGGTCTTATGTTACATAATATGACCATAAAAATTAATTCAGCCACGATATCGGTGTATAATGAGTTATACCAATTCATGTACGGTGTGCACATTGACATATAGGTTACAATAAATTAAATATTCACATTGTGACTATGTTTGGCAAACTTAACTGAAAAGGTAGATAAAAGTTGAAAATCAATAAGTTTGAAGCTGAAAATTGAAGAGTTGTTAAGCTAGCTAATCATGCTTAAAAGTGTTTGGTAAAATTAACTTTTTTGATAAGCTAATAAATGTAAAAGACTAAAAAGGATATTTTCATAAAATTTAAGTTGTTTTGAATTTAAACTATTAGTATAATCATGATCTAGCATCCAATAATGAAATAGTAATATTATTGCGAATCTCCTTCATTTCAATAGAGGTCTCACTTAAATTTTCGTTAATGCATGGACGATTGGAGTTAGAACTTTAAGGAGTTGCTGGGCGGTGAAGAATTGCGGAAAATGATGAATAAAAATATAGGAGAAGAGAAAAGGCTAAAGGGTTTTAATTAGGATGGGTACATAAAGGATGTCATTTATTTAAAACAATAAGGATAAAGAGAAAAAAAATTAGGAAGCTACTAGCTTATTTTAAGCTAGTAACTTGTACAGAACTTATAACTTATTAATAGTTCAAAATGAGTTATAAACTCTTAAATAAACTTTGCCAAACAAAGCCACCGTGTTTGAGAATTCAACCTATCTTGAATTTTTCCTTGTCACCCGATTGAGCTCAAGTTGCATAGCAGAATACCATGGCAAACTAGTGGTGTAACCCTATTAGTATTGCACTATAATCCTAGTATTAATCTTTCATCTTTAAGGAACTCACATGAACCAGCTTATTTCCTATTATATTGGCTGGGTCCACCCTATTTAAATCATTATAGCCAATGATATCCATAGATTGGAAATGAATGGGTAATGTTACATTATAATCACAGTAACATATAGTTGCATAATAGAGTTATGGATATTTAAAACATTACCCATTACGGGGAGGCCATTCAATGCGCGTAATAGGACAATATTATATGATCGTAGATTGGTAGTTCACGATGGTACTATCAAATTATGTATTAATATTGAAATATGGCATGTCATATGAATACCGAACACGATTATAGTGTCATCACAATATCATATTGTAATCCATATACTATATGGTGAATTGTGGGTAGTGGATATAATGGATATCAATGGGTAATAATCCTGTTGATATATAATCCATATCCCCCACAATGTCTAATGGTGTCACAATCTTTCTATGTTACGTTTAGTTTTCGTTAATAATATTGCAAAAAAGGTAATATAATTTCATTTATATTGCTCTCTAATTCTTCATACATCATGCATCTATTGCTACATAACTTTTGTAGTAACCGAGAGTTCACCAATCTGTCCCATATATAGTTGACAAATCAAACTCCATCACATATAATATTTACGTAATTAAAATTATTTATTTCGGTAACTAATTAACTGGCACAATTTAGATGGTTGAATTGATAACCAAAGTCGGCACATTCATAGTTAATTTTAAGTTTAAAATAATTTTATTTATTAGTTAATTTGGTTCAAAAAATCAGTTGCTACCGATCGGCAAATTATTATATTGCATGGACCATGGTCCATACAATTGTGTAGACCATGAATATCAGATACATTTTTAATATACTAAGGATACATTATTTTTGTACTGAAGGTACATTGTTTTTGTATTGAAGGTACATTATATAAAATAATGTACCCTTAGTATATTAAAAATGTACTTTATGTACATAAATAATGTACCCTTAGTATATTAAAAATGTACTTTTTATTTATGGTTCACACCATTGTGTGGACCATGGTCCATGCAATAATGATTGTACCAAATCAACCTAATTAATAATAAATAATCAAATTATAATTTGACTCTATTAATTCAAAATTCATTTTTCAACTTAAGCACCATAAGCACAAAATCCATGCACCTTAAACACAAAACCTACTCACTTTAAGCACAAAAATCACACACCTTAAATTTGACCTAAATACAAAAATTATCAAATTGCCACCGTATTTTTTTTTAAATGGTAATCTTGGACGTTGATTTAAGCAAGATCAATGGCTCAAATTTAATCGCACAACCGCGCACCTGGATGCACCAACTGCATTCGAATATAATATATATATAGCCACACAAACACACACGGATTTATATTTGATGCATTGTCAGTGTATAAATGCTATACAACAACGGTGGAAGAGAATATGTCAAATCATTAAAAAGAAAAAGATAATATTAACTAGGTCTTTTCTTTCATAAATTATTATGTATTTTATTGTATTAGAGAACTCTTTATTTCTAATTGACAAAAACTATTTAATTTTTTAAAAATATTTATTACTTATTACCTGCCTAATTTTCAAAACATATTTATTACTTACATAATATTTAAACGGTTCATTCATATAACAAAAATATATATCATAAACATTATTTCTAGTACAATAAATGAATTGATTAGTATTCTCAATTAGAAGTATCACTGCTGAAAATCTTTGATTTTCCGACCACCTAAAAAAGTATTTAAAAAGTGATATTTTTTCCTTTTTTTGTTTCACCTGCTACCCGCGCGCCTTCATTGAATCTTGATTACCCCTCGTGCATACGCTAGCGTCCCAAATCCATCCATTCATCACGTCCAAAATGCTCTCAATTTGTTCCATTCCGCAACTTATCAGCTCGAAATTAAACCTCCAACATATATAGCAAAAATGAAGAAATAAGTAGTACGTGTGTTTATTTACTTTGAAATCATTCTAAAAAACTGCAATACAACATGCACATAAAAACCCCAGGATCGGAATTTACAATTATTAAGATTTGGGACTTTGGTGTTGCCCAAACAAACTGAACAAGTCTCAGAACCTTCTGAGCCTCAGATCCACCATATTCACACAGCTAGCGCTAGCTTGCAGTAAGCCTTCTCTGATCTTCTAGAATCTGGAAGCCAAAAAACTTGTTGCTCAATTCGAATTGTGATCTTAAAATTAGTGACTTCAATTCAATTTGGTCTTGCCCAGACAATAAACTTATATATTGAAGTGGACACATACAGAAGATATTTATACTAGATTGTAGTACCAGGAGGCCGGTCGAGCTTGTGTTGAAGTCTTAAAGCTAGATTAGAGTGGTGGTGTGTTGGTTGCATCTATCTCATATGATCTTCATCAACAGACAACCTCAGCTCCATCTGTTTCAAGGTAAAGATGATTGATTATATTGGCATCAGATCAGATGCTTTTAATAACCAATTCAAGGTAACACTTTTGAAACACAATCATATATATAGTATCTGTGAAAAACATCCTATATATATATATGCATGTGATACTACACTAAACTCCATTTATAGTATCTGTACAAAACATCCTATCCAATGGGCTATACTTAACTCCGTTAGCCAATTGCGGGCATGCGAGTTGAGACAGACTTAACATCTTCATCTGCAGCTAGCAATCCCTGAGCCACGTACATTATATTTCCCAGTCTGCAACTTGCAATATATTGGTTCAGACATATTGTGTATGCCCGCCGGGTAAATTAAACCACTTTAATTCTCAGACCAATCCTTTTGGATTTATAGACATAAGAAATAAGAATGTGAGAATGAAAGTAACCTCTGCATATATAGTTTTTGAGGAATTATATATGCTTCCTCTCATCTCATCTGCAAACCTCAAGGATTTAATCAGAATTGACAGCCAACTTAGTTCTACACACTCTCAAGCAAGGGAAAATGATCTTTACTGGCCTCCCAACATGATAGACGATCTTCACATTAAACCCCAAAAATATTCATCTACCTGCTTGGAAAACAAAACATCATCATCTATGGTATAGAAATTGAAATAAATTTAGATTCAAAATAAGAAAATTAAGGATTAAAAAACTTAGAATTGCAATTTCAACTTTTTTTGAAGGACAAAAATAGTTTAAAAATCTAACCATAAAATATCAACAGCAAACGTGTTGTTTCCGTACTCTTGCTGCTCTTCTTGAATACACTTGGCAGAGGATATGACTGACTTTGAACATCCATATAACTTGATTGATTTGAGACTCTGCATAGTTATATCTGCAAAACTACTAGGAATCCTTTTAAAAACATAACATGATCCCGAGGACTAGACATTGAAGAGCAGATATGTATGAATAAGTTTCAACTTACAAACAACATCCAAGACCTTGAGAACCATAATTTGATGCACCATCTTACTATCTGGAAAACGAAACATCAACTATGGTTTAGAAATTAATCATTAAAACTGAAACATGGAGATTCCTTAGTTTCATGGACACCTTTGACTTTGTTCTTTTATTTGGGTTGGGCAGACCGGAAGGTAGGACTCTAATTTGTTACCTTACGTGTTGGTGTGCTTGCAATACGTATTTATTGAATTCAATTGTATGAGATCCTTGGTGGACTAAAAATTAAATACATACATTCGGCGAATGTTATCATAGAGGCTGGAATGGAAGCCAAAAAACCTTGTTGCTCAATTCGAATTGTGATCTTAAAATTAGTGACTATAATTTGGTGTTGCCCAGACAAACTTATATATTGAAGTGGACACAAATGAGAAGATATTTATACTAGCAGATTGATTATTTGTACCTCACTGAATCTTCATTTGCATGCCCTCCTGCTTCCTTTTACATCCAAAATGCTCTCAATTTAATTTGCTGCCGCCATTCTGCAACTTATCAACTCAAAACCTAGCTCCAAGCAAAAATGAACAAATAAGTATTGTAGTGATTATTTACTTTCAAATCATTCCAAAAAACTGCAATACGACAAGGGCACAACATTCACAAAAAAAATCCCAGGATCGGAATTTACAATTAGATGTGTGAGGCATGCAGACACAGTTATCCTGAGCTTAATTCTGTTGAAGTCTTCAGATTACAGTGTGGTGTGTTGGTTGCATCTATCTCATCTCATCTCATCTCATCTTCATGGAGCTTATATATTATGAACAGGCAAGCTAAGGAATCTCTCATCTTCTAACATCATATCATATATGCACCAACTTAGTTCTACGCATTCTCAACCAAGGGAAAACATCTTTACTGGAACGTGCAACAACTTTAATACCAACTCAAAAAATCCATGTCAACATCCATGGAAAGTAGAACACCAGAAATTAATCATAGAAATTTAAATAAATTTGGATTAAAATTAAGAAATTTATGGATTAAAAGTTACAAGTATAATTTTTTTTTTTTTTGAAAAACAAAAGTAGCTAGAAATCTAACCATAAAATATCAACAGTAAAAGTGTAATTTCAACTTTTTTGAAGGACAAAAATAGTTTAAAAATCTAACCGTAAAATATAAACAGCAAACATGTTGTTTCGGTACTCTTGCTGCAGCTCTTCTTGAATACACTTGGCAGAGGATATAACTGACTTTGAACATCCATATAACCTGATTGATTTGAGACTAGTTATATCTGCAAAAATATTAGAAATCCTTTTAAAAAATAACATGATCCCGAGGACTAGACATTCAAGAACAGACATGTATGAATAAGTTTTAACTTACCAACAACGTCCACCTTAAGAACCATAATTTGATGTGATGCTAAAATCTCTAGGCACCATCTTACTATCTGGAAAACGAAACGTCATCTATGCATGGTTTAGAAATTAATCATTGAAATTAAGAAAAGTAAGGATTTAACAAATTAGAATCTTAATTTCAACATACTGTTTTGAAAAGCAAAAGATATATAGCTTGAAATTGGACCTGGAAATTAAATATCAATAACAAATGTGTCATCTCCGTACTCTTGCCTCTCTTTTTGAATGTAGTCAGCAGATGATATAAGTGACAGCCAACTTAGTTCTAGACACTCTCAACTCTCAACATGATAGACGATCTTCACATTAAACCCCAAAAATATTCATCTAGGCCAGTCATCATACCTGGAAAACAAAACATCCTATGTGATACACTAAACTCCATTTATAGTATCTGTACAAAACATCCTATCCAATGCGCTACACTTAACTCCGTTAGCCAATTGCGAGTTGAGACTTAATCATAGAAATTGAAATAAATTTAGATTCAAAATAAGAAAATAAAGGGTGTCTATCAGTTACATGATATGTTGTTTACTAAATGTAACCTAGTTTAACAGAACACATAGCACATAGTCACCCGTTCTGAATTTTAGTGTACTTATATATTTCACAGTAAGCTAAGCACCAACTTATGAAATCAATTCCAAAAATTCTCACTAAAGTATTAATGAGTTGCAGAGGAGTAAAACAGATGGCAACAGATCAGAGAAGTTATAATCAAAATCATAGTTTAGTCCTATAGCAACTCATATTTTAATGAGTTAATTCCATTTCTAGTCATAGATTTATAGGTGACAGTCCACTTTTAGTCCTTTTTTTTTTTTTTTTTTTTTTTTATCAAAACACCCCTTTTGAATCCTATAATTTTGTATGGAATGTCATAATAATCAAGGAACGCTGAGAAAAACAGACCAACAGGCAAAATTAGAGTTGCAGATCGAGTAAGCATATAAACACCCTTAATCAAATTATTTTGTTTCCTACAATTCAGGTTCAGATCAGTAGTTAGTTTCCGAATATATATAAACTATTAAATGAAGGTACATACATAATATGTTAACTGCAGAATTTGGCAAGCCATAAATTCTCCACCCTTTTGGCTGGGTGGGACGGGCTAAGCCTGTTTTGACGCTCTACTCCTATCCCCCATAGTAGGACTCTAATTTGTTAGTGTGTTGGTGTGCTTGCTTGCAGTATTATATATTGTATCAGATCCTTTAATTAATTTAAATAGTGGGTTAAAATACATACTAATTATGTATTGAAGTATGTAGACACAGATCAGAGTATGTTGATACTAGATTGTACCGGGTGGCCGAGCTTCTGTTGAAGTCTTCAGATTACAGTGTGGTGCATGTGTTGGTTGCATCTATCTCATCCCATCTTCATGGAGCAACTTAGTTCTACGCATTCTCAACCAAGGGAAAATCATCTTTACTGGAACGTGCAACAACTTTAATACCAACTCAAATGTTCAAAGTCACCAAACCTGGAAAGTAAAACACCATCATCTATAGCATACAAATTAATCATAGAAATTTAAATAAATTTGGATTAAAATTAACAAAATTATGGATTAATTATTATTTTTTTCTTTGACAAACAAAAGTGGCTAGAAATCTAACCCTAAAATATCAACAGTAAAAGCGTTGTTTCCGTAGTCTCGTAGCTCCTCTTGAATACACTTGGCGGAAGATATTGCTGACTCTGAACAGTCATATAACTTGATTGATTTGAGAGTAGTTATATATGCAAAGTCCTAGGAATCTTTTTTAAACCCTCTAATCTCTTGAGGACTAGACATTCAAGGACATGAAAATGGTCACCCGTGGCTTTCCAAATTTGTAGATCACAAGTTCCTATGATTAACAACTTTAATCCATGAAATCCTCCATCTTTGGGTTTCCATTTTTTGCCAACAGCAGCATTATCCTCCAAGATGAGGACCTCAAGCTTAGGCAACATCCCAACAACATTCATATCCTTCCAATTTAATTCTGTTTCAAAGAGTTTCAATTTCTTAAGATTTGGCAAAAAATTCTCTATGCTCAAAGTCCCCGTAGAATGGATAGTACTAAACTTCGGATGAAGAAGTTCGCCATGAACTTGCAGATCTTCCAGTTTATATAAATAGGCAAGGTTTTGGAACCAATTGAATGCTTTGCGTTTCAGGTGAACTCCCAATGTCCTTAGATTTGGGATTCTCATAAACAGCTCCTCTGTACAACTCATATAATTCAAATATCTAATGCTCTCCAAATTATGATGAACTGATCTTGGAGGAACCAGTGTAATGCCTCCCCCAACATTGAGATTCTTCAGTTGGGGCAATCCCGAAATATTAAGGGTTTCATATAGTGAACGATCACCTACATCTAGCTTCTGCAAATTCCATAACATGAACAAGGGTAGAGAATTAAGTTTCAAAGCAAAGTCATACATTAGCCATCTCAAATGCACTAGGCTTATGAACGAATAGGCTCTGTAGCCTTGCGCATCTAGTATCAATCCCCTTAAGAACTTTAAATGACAATTAAACTGCTTACTGTTGCCGTTATTGGATAAATCCAAAAATGAAAAGGTGCTGAAAATTTTTGATTGGATACTCCATGGATGAGATATACGAGAGGAGTTTATTAGTTGACTTCTCCTAAACCCCACACTAATGATAGAGTCATCATTTTTTAGACATAATAGATTCTCCTTCTGAGCTTCCCTCAAGGCCAATTCACGCAAAACATCATGCATTTCATATAGTTTCAATGATTCTCCATCATCAGTCATCTTTGTAGAAATTAAAAGAAGATTTCTGTCTACAAGATCTTGCAAGGATTCTCTTGCCACATCTTCCAAGCTCTTAGACCTCAAAACCTTTAGAAATCCCCCCGAAACCAAAATATCAACAATAAAAGGCTCAGGAAGTTTACTGTCCTCTGGAAAACCCCCAATTAACAAGAAACAATGTTTAAGATGATGAGGTAAGAAGGTGTAACTCAAGTCAATGATGTTTTCACCCTGCTGATTAGAATGATCTATACTTAATGTATGAACATTTTTTGCAATTAGCTCCCATTCATTTAAGTCTTGTTTGGGTTTTGAGAGGAGTCCAGCAACCACATTAATTGCAAGAGGTAATCCTTTGCACTTGTTTACTATCTCTCTACCAATTCTTTCAAATTCAGGGGACAAAGTTATTCTCTGGGACAACACCTTGTTGTGAAAAAGGTTCCAACTTTCATATGAATTCAAAAACCGCATGCTATGACAAAGATTACCACGTGAATCAGCGTACTCAGCCACATTCTTTAGGCGAGTAGTCAACAACATTCGACTTCCATTCTTGCCATCCTTAAAACATCTCATTAAATCATCCAACACATTTGTACTCCATATGTCATCTATTACAATCAAATACCTTTTACCTTTGACACATTTGTCTACTCGCATAGCCAATTCATTCTTTTCTTCACAGACGACTCGTGTTGGGTCAAGAGAACAAAGAAGGGCTTTGAGCACTTTTATTGGATTATAATCCTGTGAGATAGTAACCCAAGCTCGACAATCAAAGCGAGAAATGAATGAAGCATCTCCATAAATTCTTTTAGCTAAGGTGGTTTTACCGATTCCACCCATTCCCACAATTGACACAATTTCTCGTTGCTTGGATTGCTGTTTCAGGTTATCCATTATCATGTTGAACTCATCATCACAGCCCACCATTTCTATTGTAGTATGCTGCAACGAATCACCAACTGTAAGAGAAGCAGAAGTATTGTTCCTTGTGGGGTATTGGATTCATTGTAGTGTGCATTCTTAACCTTCAACACCTCTTTCTTGATGTAGGATGTAAGCTTAATTCCTTCCATGAAAATTTGATGAAGCTTATGTCGAGCCTCTATCCGTTGCTTCATGTATTTATTGAGATAAGAGGGGGCTCTCAATTCTTGCCTGATTACACTTTCTGTTTCACACAAAACATGTTGTCTTACCTTTTTCTCCCGTTCATCATCACTCTCCTCTTGTTCATCCTTGCTCCTTTGTTCATCATCACTCTTTTGTTCTTCATCTGTCTCCCCTTCATCCCCGATCTCCTGTTCATCCTGGAAAAAAGATTTGATCCTTTTTTTTACATGAGCCGGCATGCCTGATACCGGCAGCATGAAGTGCTTCCTTAGCATCTCCAACACCGATTCGAAATCCATAGTTTTTATGCCGTCTTTAGTTGCTCCATTCAAAATGGGAAGAAGCTTTTGAGCAGAGTGAAGCCTAAGCTTCATGGATTTCCCCAGGTAAAACAATGTCAAATGATGTTCAATTTGGAACCTTAGTTCAACGGAGACATCTCTCATTTGTGCTTCCAAAGCTTTGATTGCTTCATCACACTCCCCCACTTTGAAATCTTGTTCAAGAGAGGTTTGCAAAGAAGAAAGATGTTTGTAAAGTAATCTGACCTTTGTTTTGTTGCGAAGAGGGAAACGAGGAGTGGATTGGAGGAAGTGTTGGTGGAGCGTATCCATTAAAATGGTTACAGCGGCAAAAGCCATAGCCAGCGATGTGATGTTGGAGGAATTCTGCATATGAAAGGATAGTGTGGAAAATAAAGATGCTATTGAAAATTTTTCTATGTTACATTTAGTTTTTGTTAATAATATTGCAAAAAAAGTAATATAGGCAGGGTTGCAAAAATCCCGCCTAGGCACCGAGTAATCGGCGCCTAGGCGCTAGGCGCCCCTAGGCCGTAGCGATTTCCCCCCTAGACTCCCGCCTAGGAGACCGGCCGCCTAGGCACCCGCCTAGCGCCTAATTCGGCCGCCTAGCGCCTAACTCGACCGATTACGCCGAGTTAACTCGTTAATTTCTGTCGAGTTAGCCGAGTTAACCCGACCGACTCGACCTTGCTAATTTTTTTCATTTATATGACATATATATATATATATATATATATATATATATATATATATATATATATATATATATATATATATGTATGTATGTATGTATGTATGAATGTATGTATGTATGAATGTATGTATGTATGTATGTATAATATGACATATATGCACCTACACACGTGCACTATTTTCCATTTTTTCAGTTAGCCGCCTAGGCGACCCCCTAGACCGCTTAGACCCCGCCTAGGCTGTTTTGGCGCTAGGCGCTACTCTACCGCCCGACTAGCGCCTAGCGCCTAGAAGCCTATTGCAACCATGAATATAAGTTCGTTTATTGCTCTCTAGTTCTTCATACATCATGCCTCTATTGCTACATAACTTTTATAGTAACAGGGAGTTCACCAATTTGTCCCTAGTTGCCAAATCAAACTCCATCACATATAGGCCCTATTTGGTAAAATGGATGTTAGCTGATAGTTGTTAGCTGATTGTGTTAATTAGAGGGTATAAATAGTTGATAACATTAGCTGATTATAGAAAATTGTTTGGTAAATTAGTTGTTAGCTGTTAGCTGTTTGGTATAATTTCTTTTCTCAAAAAGCTAATTGAAAAAGTTGTTTGGGGTAGCTTTTTCAATTTTAGCCTTTTGGAGTTGTAAAAAGCTAATTAACCAAACATTTATATTAATATTTTAATTAAATCAAACAATTAATAGTGGTTAAATAAACCAAAATTGATCTATAGGCCAACTTTTTACCAAACAGGGCCATAATATTTACGTAATTAAAATTATTTATTTTGGTAACTAATTAACTGGCACAATTTGGATAATTTAATTGATAACCAAAGTCTTCCAATTCATAGGTAATTTTAAGTTTAAAATAATTTTATTTATTAGTTAATTTGGTTCAAACCAGCAGTTGCTACCAAATAAACCAAATTAATAATAAATAATCAAATTATAATTAATTCAAAAATCATTTATCAACTTGATAAACGACCCTAATAATTCAAAAATCACTTTTCAACTTGATAGACGAATAGCTTTAATTCATGAAATTAACATTCGAATTTTGATTTATTCAATTTCAATTAATCCGATTCAAAATTAATCAAATGACCACCTCTGATTATATTATGATATATACTCCGTATATACAAATAAATTATGTGTGTTAATGTAATATATATAACCAATGAAATTATGAAAAGTAAAGTATAACAAAAAACTTACATGAGATGGAAGCCAATTTGGAGGTGAGATCAAAGGTTTGATGCAGCAGCAAAAGGCATGGACAGTAGGTGATGTTAGTTGTAGAATTGAAGAGCTAATTAATGGGGTGGCTTAGTTTAGCAGAGAGAGGAAAAAAGCTGAAATTGGAATATTTGCAGAGTAGAGTTTGAGATTAAGAAAAGTGCAACTTAACTTTTGAGAAATGGTGGTGTAGAAAAGGCCGGCAAGCTAAGGTAGAACATCAGATAATATAATGTATTCTTTTCTTCTGTCATATTTAGCAATGGTGGTCAATTTTTTATTTTTTTAATGGATGATTGCGGCTTCCCAACAACTATTCATACACATTCATTTGCATTCTTACCTGTAATCCATTATATAATACAAGGTTTGACCCAAAAATTTATTCTTGTTAGGCTAATTAAATTGTTTGTTTGCTTGTTTTTTCTGTACTATTAACTCTATTACAAGGTAGTATTATATAATCGGGATTTTATTCTGCAACCTTTTTTCAATGAGAGTCACTAAAGTGTCATCTAAGCACAAGGTACCCACTATCAGATTCGATCTTATTTGTTTGTTTGTTTTTTAAGAAAAGAATTTAAGACATTCGATATCATTAAATGAAAATGTTTAATTATATTTACACAACTACTAATATAATATTACCTGACATCCCTAATCACGCACGCGCACACATATTTCCTCAATCACATTTTACTTTTCATATTTACCATTTTGAAAATTGAGGGGCAACATTTACACAACTAATAATTCAGGGGTAACATTGATAATTGACATATTATAAAGGGGCATAAATTACAATTTTTCCTTAACAAAATATGATTTTTAGTTCTAAAATCCAAATATGATGTCAAATGTAATACTTATACTAACAAATGTAATACTAAATCATGAATAAAATGTTCATTACTTATATAGAAAATATAATATAATATTTTTAATGACAAATGTAATACTTTTACATTTATGTAAAAGTTTTACTTTTTTCATAAAAAGTATTATATTTTTTGTTATAAGTAATAAACATTTTTTTCCTAATTAATACATTTATTAGTACAAGTATTACATTTACATATTGACCTAATCCGATACATCTCACAAGTAATAATTCATGAGAGTCTCACCCAAGTGTGTCCCATTAATATTTGAATCGCACTACATCTCCATGTTAGATCCCCTAACCAATGTGACCTTCCACATACTTAATCTTTTTTTTTTTTTTGAAAATAAATGGATTATTTATTTAAAGTAGGACTTGAACCCTTGACCTTATGTCTTAATCTTTTAATTACATATCTCAATGTTAATTAGATCCCCATCCCATGTGAGCTTCCACGTACTTAACCTCTTTAATTACACAACCCTAGGCCAAATGCCCAAATCCCCCAATGTTTTTAATATTTTAATTACAATGCCCAAACGGCTTCTTAAGGGTGTGTGGGGTTCAAATGTTGAATCAAAATGATAATTGGAATTAATTAAATACTTATAATAATAATAATAATGGATTTTGATAAGGAATATACCCGGACTTATTGATTCATACATACTAAACACCGAATCGGATCTAGCCATTTGCGTATGAAGGATTGCTTTTCCACCGCGTCTGACCTGACGAGAGTAAGTAATCTATTATTTACCTAATTTTATTATCACATAAAATTTAATATGACTCTACTGTTGATATATAATTATATAAATACTATACACCATCAATAAATACAATGCCACATGTATCATTAAAGGAAAACCCCAATTTTGATCAAACTTGCTTTACATAACAATTTTTAAAAATTATTAAAATTAAATAATTAAAAGTAAAATTTATATTTTCAATAACACTAAAATATTTTACTAATGAGAGTGGTAGCTGATTGTTCATTTCGGCAGTGAAGGAGAAGTGAGTATAGCTACAAGACAATGCCCTTTGGGGTCGTTTACTTCATTTTTCTGTTTTTTCATTTCCAATTTTCTATTTCTCCATTCCTCCAGTTTTCTTTTCTCATTTCTCCAGTTTTCTATTTCTCCATTCCTCAAATTTTTTATTTTTCTAATTTTCTATTTTGTTAAATACAATCATCCTATATAGCATTTGTACATTTCTACAACAAAGATGGTAATAATAATAATAATAATAATAATAATAATAATAATAATAATAATAATAATAATAATAATAATAATAATAATAATAATAATAATAATAATAATAATAATAATAATAATAATAATAGGAAAAGTGGCATGCACAGGGCAAACAACAAAAGGAGAAGTTTTCAAAAAAAAAAAAAAAAAGACAAATGGAGAAAAAAACGGCCACGCACAGGAAACGACCAAAGGACAAAAAATGGGCTGTGTTGCGCATGCAGTGGGAATCAAACGGCAAACCTTTTCGAATGAGACACTGTTCACCCGTGTTTCTCACTATTTTTTCATTTGGAAAAGTCCTAATATCTCTTCTCTAAAATTATACATGAAGTTGGAGAATGAAGAAAAATTAGGCAATTGGAGAAATAGTTTTAGTAAACAACTTTTTCATTTTTCATTCTCCCACTTTTTCAATTTTTTATTTTTTAGAAAAATTCTCCATCTTTTCAGTTTGGTAAACGACCCCAAAAGTTTTTTAGAAAAATATCATTTTCACTTGTATTCAAATTTGATCGGAGGAAGAAAAGAAGAAATAGACAAACATCATGGCTCCTCTTATAAAATTGAGCAATCAAAATATGTCAAATCATAAACAGAAAAATAAGAGCATAAAATGAGAGCACATATAAAAATACTCAAATTATTTTTTTATTTTTTTATTTTTTTATTTTTTTATTTTTTATGGAAGGAGGGCTTTAGATGGCGTCTTTTGTCATAAAAAATTGGGATAGATTTAAGACAAATATTAGTGGAATGCAAAAGGAGATGCCTTTTCCTGTGCTTTTAATTTGGTGGGAGATGTGAAGTGACTGATGTCTTTAATTTGTCCTCTCGAGTAGACATAAAGATGTTTGTAGCAAGTAAATTTGTTCAATTATTTCGGCTAAAGTAGATGCCTTTTTCTTGTGCTATTGGTGGGGGACGTGAAGTATTTGTCCTACTTAGGGCATTTTCAATAGTGGAAATTTTAGTACAGTATTTTAAAGATTTTTATAGATGTGATTAGAAAAGATAAAATGAGGGAGTGATGTTAAAAAATAAAAACATAAAAAAATAAAAAAATAAAATGTCAGTAAAAGAAAAAAAAGAAAAAAGAAAAAATAAAAAAAAATAAAAAATAACCTGAAACGTGCACGCGCCCGATTGGGTGCGAATGTGCAGCCCACTCTCCTCTTCTCTACTTGCTTCTTTTCTTTGTGGGATTCACACAAGGAGACAAAATCTCCAACCTCCTCCAAGCAACTCTCCCCTCTCTCTCCTCTCTCTCCTCTCTCCTCCACTTCACACCTTTTTTTCTCAAAACATATGCACAATCCCCTTAATGGGGATGTCCTTAGTACACTCTAGCCTAAATATAATTTTCCCATTTTGTAATTTTTTAGTGGTTGACACTCTGATCTTTGTACCTGTAAATCTGTAATTGATTATTTTTGCATTTGTAGCTATTATATTATGTGTAAGCAATTATCAAATTATGTATTTACATATACAAAAATTGTTACATGTAGGTACATAATGTGTTAACTAATGGTATAGAATTATATTATGTGTAAGCAATTATCGAGTTATATGTTTACATGTACATAAAGTTTTAACTATAGGTACAAAATGTGTTAACTGAAGGTATATAATTTTGAAAAAACTGTCAAATTGGTCCCTAAGTCAAGTGGATAGTGCAATCGGGTCCCCTAAATAAATAAATAAAAAACTTCATTTAAGTCTCCTGAACCGGTAAAATTATATTGTTCAATTAAGTTCAAATTAACTTATGTATCAGGTTAAATCCATGCCGTCTTCCTCCGTCGCCCAGGGCCGTCTTTCTTTGTCGGTTAGTGCCGTCTTCCATAGATGGTCGTGGCCGTCCTACCAAACAGCCACGATTGTCTTTAAATTAAAGAAGACAGCCACCGACTGTTCGGCGCGGACAGTCTGTGGCTATTTTTTTGTTTTAGATTTATTAATTTATTTTTAATAAATAAAAAACATTTGTTTTAAAAAAATAAAATAAAAAGGACACATGTCAATACCGCATAGATTTAATCTAATAAACAAGTTTATTTGGACTTAATTGAACAATTTTACCAATTTAGGAGACTTGAATGATTTTTTTTTATGGGATTTAATTACACTATCCACTTGACTTAGGAGATTAATTTAACATTTTTTCTTATAATTTTTGCATCAAAATTCACAATACAATATAAATCTTGATCCATGGTATAACGATTGGTCCAAGGTTTATTATTAGTTTTGGGTGTACAATTGCCTTGTCCAGTACAGTAGGGGTATGTATTAGTTCCGATATTAGATTTGCACCACATCTGGTCAATCGTTATGCCATGGAACCGTGTTCACCATCCATGGTGAACACGGTCCTAACGGTAACGGTGTACCGTTATCTTTTTTCTTTTTTCTTCTTCATTTTCACATTTTGCGGTTTCACTTTCTCTTCGCGCAAGTTTCTTCAACATTCATAAATTATGAATGTGCAGGCATGGATTTATGAATGTGCAGTTATGAAATTATGAATTTTCTTTTATGAGATTATGAATTTCCTGTTATGAAATTATGAATTTTCTGTTATGAAATTATGAATTTTCTGTTATGAGATTATGAATTTTCTGGTATGCGATTATGAATTTTCTGTTATGAAATTATGAATTTTCTGTTATGAGATTATGAATTTACAGAAAATTCATAATTATATAATTGTAAATTCATAATCTCATAACAGAAAATTCATAATTTAATAAATGTTTTTCTTTTATGCGATTATGAATTTTCTGTTATGAGATTATGAATTTATAGTACATTCATAATCTCACAACAGAAAATTCATAATCTGAACAAACGCGCGCCGTTAACAGCACATTAACTAATTTTTTTTCCATAAAGACGACACCGTTTGGACCCGTATTTACCATTCATCGTGAACACGTTTCCAGGGCATAATTTGCGACATCTGGTGGGGCATGACCCCTTGTCTATATTTTTAACGGTGTATTTTGTTGTATTCTTTTGTAGTCATTA